ATGGAGATGCCCGCGCCTGGGCCACTCCCTACTTTGCCCAGCTCGCATCGGTGCAGGTGGGTGTGCAAGGGGCCACGACCCCGTTCGCAAACGAAGCGGCCTTTGCCGCCGCCTTCAGGGCCCGCTTCGGAAATCTCGACGACGAGGCGGCAGCACAAGTAGAGCTGGCGAAGCTCTGCGCGGACAAGTCGGTCCGTGAAAAACGCACCGCTGCGGAATTCTCCGCGCTGTTCAAGGGTCCGGCGGACCGCTCTGGGTATGGGGACCTGGAGCTACGCGACAAGTACCTGAGCGGCATCCCCTCCCGCGTGTACCGAAAGATCGAGCTCGAGACCTTTGCCACGTGGCAAGCAGCTGAGAAGCGCGCCACGGAGGTCGAGCAGATCCTCGACATCAGCCGGGCCCGTCGGCCCGAGCTGAACAACTTCTTCTCGGCACGAGGTCGAGGGCGCGGCGGGGCACGTAGTGGTGCACCCTCGACGCACGCAGCTTCGGCCAGCATCAATGCGGCCGTCGGAAAAGGCAACTTCCCCGGCACATGCTTCGGCTGTGGGAAGCAAGGGTACCGACGCTTCGAGTGCCCCAATTGTAAGGACAAGCCTTACACAAAACGCGCCGACGCGCGGGCTACGGTTGCCTCGGGCTCCACCCAGGCTGCGACAAGCGCCCCCGTCACGACAACACCCTCGGCAAGTATAAGTGCCGCTTCAGCGAAATGCGAGCAATCGGAGCTGGCGGACTTAATGGCACAGGTGAAGTCAATGCGCGAGGAGCTCGAGCACTATCAGGCGATGAAGGAGGAGGGTTTTTGATCCGGTCCACGCTTCGTGCCGCACGCGTCGGGCCGCGAGTATCATCTTGTAACAAGTATAATGTATTGTCTACTGCGATGGTGTACGAATTGGACCAGGGGTCCCAACATTTTCACATCCCAGTACGACTCCAAGGGAAAAGACGGCACAAAGACATAATCGCTATGGTGGACAGCGGAGCCACCACGAAGTTTATCAACAAGCGATTCGTTGAAGAGAATAAGGTGCAAACGCGGAAATTAAAAGAGCCGATTCCGCTATACAATATCGACGGCACCCTAAATAAAGACGGAAGCATCTCGGAGGTAGCAGTGCTACAGATGCACATTGGAGAACACGTCGAGAAGACGGTGTTCACAGTCACGGACATCGGTCCGGAAGATGTGATTGTCGGGTTGGACTGGCTGCGCGAGCACAACCCTGACATCGATTGGGAAAAAGGCTCCCTCAAATTATCACGATGCCCTGAGGCGTGCAGTGCCAGAAGGGCTGGCCAAATGGAGCAAGCGGCGACTGCGCGTGATACGGGGGTCAGGCCCATGGCGCGCAGGCGTTCGCCGAAGTCCAAACGGTCGGTCATAGGCGCTTGCCGGAGCAAGGTGCTCCCGGACTTCGAACCCGAAGATGATCCGGTGGAGGTAGAGTGGAGCGAAGCCGACTTGATCGAGGCCTGGGAGCAAGGTATCACACTTCCCGGCGCCCCTCAGCTGTTCGTCGCAGCAGGGCACATGTATTCCCAGCTGTTCGCTGAGGAAGAAATCAAGAAGAAGGTCGTTAAAACCGCCGAGGAGTCGGTACCTAAACAGTACCACGAGTTCCTGAATGTCTTCTCCAAGGAAGCATCAGAACGGTTACCCGAAAGGAAGCCTTACGATCATGCAATTGAACTCGTACCCGGCTACTCGACGTTCCATTCGAAGGTGTATCCCCTGTCGAACAACGAACAAGAGGAACTGGACAAGTTCCTAAAAGAGCAGTTGGCGAAAGGCTACATACGGGAGTCGAAGTCACCCATCTCGTCCCCTTTCTTCTTCATCAAAAAGAAAGAGGGAACACTTCGACCCGTGCAGGACTACCGCCGGTTGAATGCGATCACTGTTAAAAACCGCTACCCTTTGCCGCTGATCGCCGAGATGGTAGATAAGCTTTGCGGTGCCACGCTCTTCACCAAGTTCGATGTCCGATGGGGATACAACAACGTCCGAATCAAGGCCGGTGACGAATGGAAGGCGGCCTTTGTGACTAACCGGGGGCTATACGAACACCTAGTGATGTTCTTCGGCCTCACCAACTCCCCCGCCACTTTCCAGGCAATGATGAATGAGATCTTCCACGATCTCATCGTCGGCAGCAAGATCCTTGTGTACCTGGACGATATACTCATCTTCTCCACCAATAAAGAGGAGCATGAGAAGGTCACACGTGAGGTTCTGTGCCGCCTTCAGGATAATGATCTATTCCTGAAGCCTGAGAAATGCGAATGGGACGTTCCCAAGGTCGACTATGTCGGCTATGTGTTCGGTGGCGATGAGGTAGCGATGGATCCCGCAAAGCTAAAAGGAATTAATGAGTGGCCGGTACCCCGGAACAAAAAGGATGTCCAGAAGTTCCGGGGGTTCTCCAATTTCTACCGCCGTTTCATTAAAGACTTCGCTAAGATCTCGCGACCACTCGACCGGCTCACAGGAAACGACCCATGGCATTGGGGCGAAGAGGAGCAGCACGCCTTCGACGAGCTCAAACAGCTCTTCGCGACGACTCCAGTCCTAGCACTGTACGATCCCAATCGGGAGACGCACATTGAGGTCGACGCCTCAGGATATGCCACTGGCGGCGTGTTGATGCAGAAGCAGGACGATGGCAAATGGCATCCTATTGCCTTCAGATCCCATGCGATGGACCCGGCACAGCGGAACTACGAGATCTACGATAAGGAGATGCTCGCGATCATCGAAGCACTGGACGACTGGCGCCACTATCTCGAGGGCCTACCCAATCAGTTCGAGATCGTAACCGATCATAAGAATCTTGAGTACTGGCGCACGTCACAGCACCTCACGCGTCGTCAAGCGCGATGGTCACTGTTCCTGGCTCGCTTCGACTTCCGCATCACGCACAAAGCCGGGACGTCGAATGGAAAGGCTGATGCCCTGTCGCGACGATCAGATCACCAGATCGGCGACGAGGACGATAACACCGATCAGGTAGTTCTCAAGCCGGAGCGCTTCCGCATCGCCTCCGCCAGGCGCGGTCATGCCTCGGTGACGGCCGATCAGTCGCTTCTGAAGCGCATCAGGGAATGTTCGTTGATGAATCAGGAAGTGGCTGAGGCGCTTGAAAAGGTGCAGGACCTCGGGCCGCCCCGGCTGCAAAGGGGTTTTGAGGAGTGGAATGCCGAACAAGGGCTCCTGCTGTTCCGCGGATGTGTGTACGTCCCAAAGGATGCGGAGCTCCGGCGGGATATAGTCAAAATCCACCACGACTCGCCGATCGCCGGTCATGGCGGTCGTGCCAAAACCCTTGAGCTCGTGTCGCGGAACTACTGGTGGCCTGGGATGTCCAAATTCGTCAATGAGTATGTAAGCACCTGCGACGTGTGCAACCGTACCAAGACATTCCCAGCCAAGCCTCAGGGTCTGCTGAAGCCGAACGAGATCCCCGAGCGCCCGTGGCAGATCATCACCACGGATATGATCGTTGGCTTGCCAAAGTCTGATGGATTCGACTTGATCCTGGTCACCGCCGACCGCTTTACCAAGCAGGTCCACTTCTCAGCCTGTCATGAGACCCTGACAGCAGAAGGTGCGGCAGACCTGTACATCCGCGATGTGTTCAAGCATCATGGGGCCCCGGCCAAGGTCATATCAGACCGAGGTCCCCAGTTCGCTTCGAAGTATCTCCACGCGGTGTACAAGGGACTAGGGATCGAGCCGGCGCTGTCTACAGTGTTTCATCCTCAGACAGACGGCCAGACTGAGCGCTGGAATCAGGAGATCGAGCAGTACCTGCGTGCTTTCACAAGCCACAGGCAGGATGATTGGGCGAAGCAATTGCCGCTCGCGGAATTCGCATTGAACAACCGAGTTCACTCCGCGACCGGGCACTCCCCTTTCTTCCTGCATCAAGGGTACCATCCTGAGATCCAAGTGTGGATCAATCCGATGTCT